CCCCCCCCCCCTACCCCTACCCCTGCCACCCTCTCCATGTCCTCCACCCGCAGTCTTCTGGAGGAGGCCCTCGCTGCACCAGACACACCTCCGGCAGAGTTTGCTGCAGACGCGGCTGCCTTTGCTCCAGCCTCCACACCCTCGCTAGTGGCTGCTCTGGAGGCTCCTTCACCGCCGCCGAGTTCATCGTCGCCGCCGCCGAGTTTGTCACCGCCGCCGGGCCCGTCACCACCGTCGGGCTCGTTGCAGGCGCAGTCGTTGGATGCGGCTGCAAGCCAGGCGCCAGTTCCGGTCAGCGACGCTGCTGCCGATGGGCTGACCCGGGTCTCGCCGCTACGGGCGGTACCGGCCGACTCGCCCGAAACGTCTGGCATTGTCCGGCTCTCGCTGCTCAAGAGCATTTCGGCGTACATGACCCGGCCAAAGCTGCAGTCGCGGATGGGCTTGCCAACTGTGGTAGCGCTCGCAGCGCCCCCGCCCGCGCCAGAGCCGACTGCGTCGCACCCGGTGCTGCTCCTCGGCTCGTCACACGGCCTTGTGCTGCGGTTTATGGCACGGACGGCGGCATCGGGCAAGCGAGGCTATGTGCTCGCCAACGTGCTCGGCTCGCTGGGCTCCGGCCCAGGCATGGCCCTGGGCGCCATCACCGCCATCGCCGGTGGCTACTCGCCGGCCCACTTTGGCGAGTTCCAGGTCGTCGCCGCCGGCCACGCCTCAGGCGCACTCGTTCTGTGGAATGCTGACGACGCTCGGCCGCTCAAGGTTCTTGACACGCTCGCGTCGCCATCACCGGTCGCGCTCGCGAGCCTGGTTCTCGACAAGCCGGCAGTGCTTTGGGGCGACGCCTCCGGCGCGCTCTCGGTCACCTCGTTTAGCAAGGCGCTGCTCGGCTGGAAGGCCGAGACCGGGGTCCTCGTTGACGGACAGGCCGGGCGGGTGCACGACCTCAAGCCGCTGACCAGCGGCCGGAGCCTGGCGCCGCCGCAGATCGCCTCCTCGTCGCTCTACGCCGTCGCCACCGCGGTCTCGGTCTCGGTCATTAGCCTGCACCCAAAGACACGGGTTGTCTTCCGCCTCCCGTCGGCGACCAACGCTCCAGCCAGCGCATCCGTCGGCGACTTTGGCCGCGCACAGCGTGGAGTCCGCACGCGCCGCTCCTTGCCGTTGCGCACGGCTCGCAGGTCTCGCTGACCTCGATCGCTTGCGACGATGTGTCTGGACTTGTACCGGTCGCCGAGCGGCAGGCAAGCCTTGGCCCGCCCACGACCGCCGCCGTTGTCGAGTTGCGCTTCCTGTCGTCGTCGGTCCTCCTCGCGCTCACCTCGAACCTCACCATCGTCTTTGTCGACGCCCACAGCCTCGCGCCGCTCGAGACGATCTCAGTAGTCTCACTCGACCTGGCGTTCGAGACTGCACCCGACGGCGCAGTCTCGTACGCGCCATGTCTTGCTGTGAGCGGGCGGACCGCCTTTCTGCTCGGCATGGGCGGCCTGTACAAGGCTGCGGTTCTTACATGGGCCGAGCGGGTCCAGGGCCTTGCGCAGCGCGGTAAGTTTGTGTCGGCGCTTCGCCTCGCTACGGCGTTCTACCGCGGAACCGGCGCGGCCGCTGTTGGCCTCCCGCTGCCCCACGACTCGCCACAGGCCAAGGCGACCATCGCCAAGCTCATTGCCGAGCTCCTGGTTGCTTACGTCGAACTGTTCAACGCGGCGCTGGCAGCCGAGGCCGGCGCTGGCCTCGAGACCAAGGTCTCCGCTCTGACCTCGCTTGTGGTCGAGACCTGCGTCCTCATCCGCGCTACCGACAAGCTCCTTCCGCAGCTGTACGAGGCCTGCTGCACCGAAGCTCTTGTCCGCGACCTCGAGTCTGGCGAGCTGCTCTCGCCGCGCGAGACTCTCCTCCAGACGCTCGAGCCGTACCTGCTTGATGGCCGGCTGCGAAGCCTGGCGCCAGTGTTGATGCACGACTTTGTCGAGCTCTACGCCAAACTCGGCAAGCTGCAGATTGTCTCGCGGTGCATCCTCAACATGGATCTGCCGTCGCTCGACTTTCACCAGGTCGTCACTCTCTGCCGCTCAGCTGGCCTTTGGGAGGCGCTCATTTACGTCTTTACCGCGGGCCTTGGCGACTACCTCGCGCCGCTTGACGACATGTTCCGCGCCTGGCTCGCCGCCCAAAGCCGGGGCAGCGAGTCGGATCTCGGCTACAAGCTCCTGCTCTACATTTCGTACACGTTACAGGGCCGCGCCTTTCCCACCGGCGCCATACCCGACGACCACGACCCTGTCCGGGTCAAGCTCTCGATGGTGGCGTGGGTGCTCAAGCCCGGAGCCGACGGCTCGCCGCCGCCGCTCAACGCGCTGCTGCAGCTGGATGCGCGCGAGGCGACCAAGGTTCTGGAGGGTCCGTTTCTCGACCCGGTGCTGCGCGCTGCCGGGCTCGATGCGCGCCAGGCTGCGCTCCACGTTCTCGACACCGTGGTGTGCGACGAGTCCGAGTGGAAGCTCATGATCTCTGCTGAGGCCAAGACCGTGGCGCAGCCGCCAGCGCACGATCCGCGCCCGCCGTTTGAACCGCATGTTGTTGCTGCTGTCTACACGTGGTTGGCCAACCTCGCGGTCGCTGGCGCTCTTGTTCTTTCGCCGGTCTTTGCCGACTATGTCATGATCTATTTGGTGAGCTTTGACACTGCCGAGCCGCGCATGGCGCACGCTCACGTAGCCGCCGTCGTGTCGCTGCTCAACGCCGAGGTGGCGCGTGCTGAGCGCGTGGCGTCGGATGCGGTTCCTGACTCGAGCCTCATGGCCGTGGTGGCACCGGGCGACGGCGCGCCGCCACTTCACGCTCGCTTTGCGTCACTCAAAAAAGCCGCAACCCGGGCGGCTGCGCACCGAGTCATCGAGGTTCTCTGCCGGCTTGAGGGCGACACCGGCGGCGTGCTCGACGCCTATCTCGACGAGCCGGCGCGGGCCCCGCAGGTCTTTGGCGTTGTGCGTGAGCTGCTGGTCACTGCTGCAGTGGCCGACGGCGACGGCGACGACGAAGACGATGAGTACGACGACGAGTCGGATGGCTCGGCGTCGGACGATGTCGAGCACCTGGTGCGACTGGGTCTCCGGCCAGCACCGGGCCTGCCGCGTCCTACTGCGGTGGGGAAGCTGCAGAGCCAGGCTCGAGCGCGCCGCTGGCATCGCCGCTCGCGAGCGTCAAGGCTGCAGTGCTAGCGCGGCTCTCGGCGCTTGTCCAGCTCGACTCAGTCCAGGCCGGCTCGCTCATTGTAGACCACTTTGCTGACGAGCACGAGCAGGTTGTGAGCTCGCTGGAGCGGTTTCCGCGGCTGTTGTACAACTACCTCAAGGCGCTGCTCGACGGCCCGCAGGCGATGCTTGATCCCGATGTTGCGGTCGGGAGCGGCGAGACCGAGACGGTGGTCATGGCGTCGCCAAGCTCGGCCGCGGCGTGGGGCTCGTCGCTTGGCGGAAAAGGGACGAGCGGGCGGCGTGCGCGTGCACGGCGTGCGCGTGCACGGCGGCGCGCAGCCGCCCGTGACGATCCGGCGTTTCTTGCCTCGTTGCAGGAAAAGTACGTGGCACTGATGTGCGCGTATGAGCCGAGCAAGGTCCTCGAGTTTGTGCAGAGCCACGACTCGTACCGACTTGACGTTGTCCTCGCCGTCTGCTCCAAGCACGGGGTGACCGAGGCGACGGCATATCTGTTGGAGCGAACCGGTGACGCGTCGGGCGCCGTCGACCTCGTCATGCGCAGGTTCGACGACGCCGTCGCCGCCAGCGACTCCGAGGCGCTGCACAAGATGTTTGGCATGGCCATTGGAGTGTGTCAGCGGACGACGCAGCGTGAGGACGACGATGCTGAGTCGCGGGCGCTCTGGTTCGGACTGCTAGACAGGACGCTCGAGCCGGGTAGTGGCGGGGCAAAGACAAGCCTGCTAAAGCCGCTCATGCTCGAGGTGCTTGGCGGCATGGCCGGCCACGTCTCGCTCACTGCGTTGCTGACCAAGATCTTACGCGATCATGGTGACCGCGAGTACGGTGAGTTCCAGGACGTTATCGTTGGCATTATGGAGTCGTATCGCTACGAGTCTGTCCTGCTGCAGACGACAAACAAGCTCCTTGCCCGCGACGGACACTCATACGTCCAGCGGCTGGTCCGGCAGCTCTCCAAGCCGTGCGTCTCGACGCTCACCAAGTGCGCCATGTGCGGCGCATCACTCCGGAGTGCGGCAGCTGATCTGGTCACCAAGGTCTTCAAGTGCGGCCACGAGTTTCACCAAGAGTGTGGCCACGGGCTCGACGTCTGTCCTACCTGCTCGGGTGGCTCCGGATTCTCGGCGGCGTCGGCCGGCTCGGCCGAGGCTCGCCGCAAACGCGAGCGCGACGACGCGCGTCGGTCGGCGGCTGACCCCTCGCTTCACATCAAGCGGGCGAAGCGGTTTGCCCGCTCGATGGCCTCGCGCGACATGTACACCGTCCGCCGCATGGACGCCGTCGTCGACGACGCCAAGTTTGTCTCCACCCGTGGCCTCTCGCTCCGCCCGCCAACGTCCCGAGCTACGACTCGGGCCTCCAGCTCAAGACCAAGCGCGAGCCCGGAAGCTTGCCCAAGGCCCCGCTGTTCTTTGCCGCCGTTGACGATTCCGATTCCGATCTGTTTGACTATGACTTTGGGTACTAGCCTGTGCATGCGGCAGTCGAGCCCGCCGGCAGCGGCGGTGACTCCTGTCGACGACTCGACGACCAATTGACAAACACACAAACGCCACCCCTTATCTCCCACAACAACCATGGCTGCTTCTGGTGTGAACTACATCGTGTACGACGACGACCCCGCCCTCGGCAAGGAGGCCCCTGGCATCGACACCGTACGTACCCTTCTCCGCATTCTCTCCACCCTCACCCCCGTTCCCCCCCCCCCCCCCCCCCCCCCCCCCCCCCCTCCCTTCCCCTTCCCCCCTGCCCTGGATGTGGATGGGCTTCGTGAAGCACTTTGTCCCCGCCTCTGGCCCCTCTGCCCCCCCCCCTCCCCCTCCCCCCTCCTCCCCCTCTCTCTCCTCCAGGCCAAATACCTTCCCTTCTCTCCCCTCTCTCCCTCCATCCATTGCACGGGAACACAGGGACCGCGCGCTGTGGCTGTGTCCCGACGGAAGGCGGCGACCATGCGGTGTCGCAGGGACATTTTTTGGTGCAACTGCGCGGGGGGCAGGGGAGGGTCAAAGCAGAGACGCATCTGTCCACCCACGATGGGCAAGCGAGGGGAGAGTGAGTGACAGATGGCGAGAGAGAGAGAGAGAAAGAGGCAAATGACTCACCCCGCCCCACCGCTTGCTACTGCCCCCGCAGGTCGAGTTTGTCAACGGTGAGCCGCGCCCGCTGCTCTCGGACGACAAGCACACTCTGCTTGTGTTCTGGGCCAAGTGGGACAAGGCCAACTTCCACGCTTACGAGAAGTTCGCTGACGTCGCCGCCAAGCACGCCGATGCGCTTAACGTCATCTGCGTCTCGACCGACCCGGAGAAGTCGTACGCCGAGGGCATGCTCACCAAGGAGAAGTACGCCGAGCCCGGCCAGCACCTCAAGAAGATGAACGTCGCCTGGGACGCCAACAAGACCGTTGCGTCGGCGTACAAGGAGGTCATGGAGGAGCTTGTCATCAACCTCCCGCACGCCTTCCTCATCAACAAGTCGGGCATTGTTGTCTGGCACGAGATCTTCCGCGCCAACAACGCCGACTGCAAGCTCATGGCCCAGATCGACCGCCTTGTTGCCGGCGAGGAGATGGAGCTCTCCAACGGCCCGACTCCGGTCATCGAGGACGACTCTGACTCGGACTCGGACGGTGGTGCCGAGGTTGATGACGACTTTGAGCTCTTCTAACTTGTTTGTCGCTTCATTAACACATGCAATGTGCTACGGCAGGTCAGCAGAAATAGATGTTTGCTACGAGGGCGCGGCTGATGATGAGATGTTCTCGCCGGCGGCCGAGGATGAGCTCGACGCTGACGGAAGGGTGCCGGACGAGAGGGTGTCCGACATCGACGACGACGATCTGCGGCGGATGGAGGTCATGAGCTTGTCGCCGGCGCCGACATCCTCCAAAAAGTCAAGGAATGCAGAGTCAACCGAGCCGTGCGAGGAGGTCGAGAGCGAGAGCGATGAGCCGATGTGCAGGTCTGACGCCGTCGAGTAGTACGAACCAGTGTACTCGGACGATGACGAGACGACAAAGTTGCCTTCGCCAGAGTCCTCGTCCCACTGCAGGCCTGCCGCTGGCGTCACCGGCGTCGGCAGGTCCATCGAGCCGGAGGCCTTGGGCGTGAGGAGTGGATGGACGCCGGCGACCGCAACACGCGACGGCGACGCGGCCCCGGCTGCGGCGGGCGGCTCGTCCTCGTCGTACTCGACCTTGGAAATGAGCTCGGCAAACGAGGTTGCACGCTTTCTCCGGCGAGGCGGGATGATGACCCGCGGCGGTGTGGCAGGGCCTGGGGCCGAGTCTGTTGCCGAGGACGACGGAGGCGGGCAGCTGCTGTTGAGTTGAGCGACCCGGGCGCGGAGGGCATGGATGCGTGCGCCCTGTGGGTCCATGTCGAACCGGGAAGCGGTGGTGTCGAGCTCGACGTACTTGACGATGAGGACGACGTTGCAAACAGCCTTTTGCACGCATGCGACGGCGACGTCAACCAGCGCCTTGTCGCGCGGAGTGGCCTCGACAGCCTCGGGGCCCGGCACGCCGAGGACGAGGCCGTCGACCTGGTATGTCTTGGCGGCGGCGCGGAGAGCGCGCTCGAGCGGGCGGGCCTGGCCGAGGACAACGGCCGAGGTCCGCAGCTGGTACGCCTGCGCAAACGATGCGTAGGTTGCCAGGCGCATCGAGAGCATCTTCTCGCGCTCCGAAAGGAGCTCAGGCGTGTGCGGCGCGTTGGCACGTGCTGGGTTGACAGGAGCACTGGCTGCCGCGGCGGAAGCATGGGCGGGGCCGGCGTTGGACCCTGCAGCGTCGGAAGCATCGGCGACCGCAGCGACGGCAGCAGCCTCGACTGACGAGCTCGATGAGGCGCGGGCGCGAGAGCCGCCGGACGGGGCCGGGATCGGCGAGGTGGTGGCGGCGGAGGCGACGGCCGAGACGGCGGCGGCGGCGCCAGGTTTGGCGGCTGATCCCGCGGCTGCCGAGCGCGGCGGGGAGCCTGACGCTGACGCTGCCAGCGGAAGGAGTGAAAAGGTGGTGACCTTGTCATCTGCCACGGCGACTTCAGTGACGAGCTTGTTGAACGCGGCGTGGGCCATGTCCGAGCCATCAACGTAGCAGAGAAAGTTCCGGGCCGTCGCCGGAGTGCCGGCCTCGCGGTTGGCGCGGGTCACCTTGTTGTCGATGACGGCCAGGACCGAGCACGGCGCGTGGGCAATGACATGTGCCGAGACCGAGCCCAGGACAAAGCGCTTGAGCATGGAGCGCGCGCGTGTGCCGAGGACAATGACTGAGGCGTTGAGCTCGCGGGCAAAGGCGACAATGAGCTTCTTGGCCTTGCCCTTCTTCACAAAGCACCGGTGCGAGATGGACCGCTCGCGGAGCCGGCCAGCCAGCTCGGACAGAAACTCGAACTTTTCCCGCATCTCCCGCAGCGTCGCCGCTGACTTTTCCAAGCAGTACAGCAGGACAACCTTGTCACGCTCGCGCGAGAGGAACTCTGTCGGGTGGCGGTGTGAGTGGGGGGGAGGGGATGGGGAGGGAGGGAGGGGAGGAGTGGGGGGGGGGGGGGGGGGGAGAGGCGTACTTGTGATGTAGTCAAAGGCGGTGAGGGCGCGGTCTGTCTGGTTGACGGCGACGACGTAGGTCTTGCGGTTGAGGTCCTCGGCGTCATAGTCGGCGCGGGCGGCCATGGCAAGACGAGCGGGCGAGACAGCGGGTGGAAATGCCGCGAGGGGACGGAGGGTGCGGGTGAGGGGGGAGGGCCGGGCAGGGTTGGTGGCCAGTAGAGAGGGGAAAGGGAAGGAGGAGGGGGATAGACGGCCACTGTGGCTCTGCTGGTCCGTGGAAGGGACCTGCAGGTGTGGCAAAAAGTGTGGCGATGTACCCGGTGCCAGTTGGTGCCAGACGGTGCCAGTTGGTGCCAGACGGTGCCAGTTGGTGCCACCCGGTGCCAGTTGGTGCCAGACGGTGCCAGTTGGTGCCAGACGGTGCCAGTTGGTGCCAGACGGTGCCAGTTGGTGCCAGACGGTGCCAGTTGGTGCCAGACGGTGCCAGTTGGTGCCACCCGGTGCCACCCGGTGCCACCCGATGCCAGTTGGTGCCAGACGGTGCCAGTTGGTGCCAGACGGTGCCAGTTGGTGCCACCCGGTGCCAGTTGGTGCCAGACGGTGCCAGTTGGTGCCAGACGGTGCCAGTTGGTGCCACCCGGTGCCAGTTGGTGCCAGACGGTGCCAGTTGGTGCCAGACGGTGCCAGTTGGTGCCAGACGGTGCCAGTTGGTGCCACCCGGTGCCAGTTGGTGCCAGACGGTGCCAGTTGGTGCCAGACGGTGCCAGTCAGTGCCACCCGGTGCCACCCGGTGCCACCCGATGCCAGCCAGTGACAGGCAGAGCAGTCGACGACTGGGTTGTTTGCTTGTTTTGTTGTGAGCTTTTCTTTCCCTGCCGGATGAAATGAATCAAAAAAGGTTCATCCTCTCTCCTCCAATCACTTGGTCAGTCCTCGGCGCGCCGGTCGTCAGCAAGCTTGCCAACACGCCCACCACATCTACCATCAACGGGCGGTACAGCTCTCTTTCTCTTCGCTCCCCTTTGCCCCTCGGCCCCCTCCGTCTCGCCCCCCTCACCCCCCTCCATTTCCATCCCCACCCCCACCCCACCCCCTTCCCCTCGCCCACCCCCCCCTCTCCCCTCCCCTCCCTCCCGCAAGTCGTTGGCCACCGCAAGGGAGAGATCTCCACCATGTCCGCAGGTACGCCCAGCCTCTCCTGTCGCCCTCCCTCCCTCCCTCCCTCCCCCCCCCCCACCTTCCCCTCTCCTCACACTCTGCCTTCCTCCCTCCCGTGGACACACCACACCACAGCATCACCGCAACCGGCCTCCAAGCGCGGCTTTCTCGAGAAGCGTGGCGGGTCCAAGCTGGCCCGCAAGTGGAAGCGGAGGTGGTTTGTGCTCGAGGCCAACAAGGTGTACTACTTTAAGGAGCGCGGGGACTCGCTGGCCGAGGCCCTGGGCGCCATTAACATGAACAACGCCACCGACGTCCGCCCGCTATCCAAGGTCTCAACCAAGCGCTTCCCGTTTGAGGTCGACACGCCGACCCGGGTGTGGCAGCTCTCAGCCGAGTCCGAGATGGTGCGCAAGGCCTGGCTCGACGTCCTCTCGCAGTGTCTCCGAGGCTCGATTTCCACCCCGTTCAACGTCACCCACGACGTGCATGTCACCGTCCTCGACGGCATTCTCGAGGGCCTTCCCGATGAGTGGAAAGAGCTGCTCCGCGAGAGCGACTTTACCGAGGCCGAGATGAAGAACAACACGACGGCCATCCTGCAGGTCCTGCAGTTCCAGGCCGAGGGCCCACAGACAACCGGGGCCGGGGCCGCCAGCCGCGGGCGGCTTGCCCGTGACTCTATTGCGCCAGGCGCGCTCGATGAGCTCGCGCTCTCGCCGCCAGGGGGCGCCGACGCTGCCGACGCCGCGTCGGCGCGCCGGCTCACCGACAACGCGTCGCAGGCGGCAGCCATTGTGGCGGCGTTCTCGGCCTTGCCGGAGCTTGACGGCTCGATGGAAGTACTCGAGGCGCTGGTGGACGGCACAGACCCGGCGCCGCTCTTTGGCACGCTCGTCAAGATTGGGGCCGGCGGCTTTGGTGATGTGTACAAGGGCGTCCACAACGAGTCGCAGAGCGTGGTGGCCATCAAGCAAATCGAGCTCTCGGGCGAGAACGTGGACATGCTTGGTCTGCAAAACGAGATCGCCATGATGAAGGTGGTCGCACACCCGAACATTGTCCGCTTTGCCGGCGCATACCTCGAGGCCTCGTCCATGCTCTGGATCTGCATGGAGTTTATCGACGCCGGCGCCCTCACTGACGTCATTGCCTACCGCGAGATGTCCGAGGCTGAGATTGCATATGTCTGTCGGCCGATTCTCTGTGCGCTCGAGTTCCTCCACCAGTTCAATGTCATCCACCGCGACATCAAGTCCGAGAACATCTTGCTCTCGTCGGCAGGCGACATCAAGCTCGCCGACTTTGGCTTTTCCACTCGCCTCGATCCCAAGGACGGCAAAGGCCAGGCCGAGGGCCAGGTCGTCGGGACGCCATACTGGATGGCGCCCGAAATCGTCCGCGGCCAGCCGTACGGCATTCCGGTCGACGTCTGGTCGCTCGGCATTGCCGCCATCGAGATGGCCGATGCCGAGCCGCCGTACTGCGAGTTCCCGCCCATGCGCGCTCTATTCCTTATCGCCACCCACGGCTCGCCCTCGCTCCAGGAGCCCGACCGCTGGTCCGAGGCCTTTCGCGACTTTCTCGCCCGCGCCCTCGAGGTCGACGCCTCGAACCGCGCCACCGCCACAAAGCTTCTCGAGCACTCGTTCATTGGTCAGGCCTGCTCGCGCGCCGACTTTGTCGCTGCTCTTGACGAAGCTAAGATTGTCCGTGCCCAGATCGAAGCCGCCGAGGCCGAGGAGGCTGCTGCTGCCGCCACCGCTGCATTGTGAAGTAAACAGAGCGTGCCGTGTGTGCGCGTGTGGCTCTAGCTGTGTTACCGCAGCTCGAGCTTGAGCAATTATCTACACACTACGCGAGCCCGCACACTGGGCAAGCTGCCGAGCCGAGCTCTGGGAGCCAGCTGAGGCCCTCGTTCGCCGAAGCAAACCGCGCTGCGCACCACTCGCACCCACGCTCGGTCCGGGTCACGTCAAGCAGGCCGTACGAGAGCGCACAGCGCTCGAGCGGGTGGCCAGCATCACAGGTGGACCACCCCTCGCTGCTCATCTCGCGCGGGGTGTACGCCACTGGAGCAGCGCAAAATGGACACGTCTCTCGTTGTGGCGCCTTGTACGGTTCGAGCGTCAGGTCCGGGTGCCCAGCGGCTGCGGCGACGACAGCGGCGCGGGACGCGGCAGACGCCGCACTCTCGTCGCCCATGGCTGCAAGCACATCGGCCGCGAGCTGGCAGCCGGCCACCACCGTGGCAGAGGCGAGCGAGGTCGCGTTTGCAAGAAGCCCCGGAGAGAGGGTCGGGAGCGCGAGGAGCACGTCGGCGACGAGCGCTGTGGCAGTGGTGGAGGCGCCGGTTCGCTCGGCGAGCGGCGGTGTCGTTGCTGCGCAGCGGTAGAGCGTGCGAAAGGCGAGGAGGGCTTCAAGCTCGGCAGCAAGTGCTGCGCGGGCGTCGAGTCGTCGACACTAACGCTGGGGCCGACGGCCTCCATGAGGAAGATAGCGTGCTGGAGAGCGCGCGGTCGTCCAGCACGGATTGCGGCTGGGACTCGGGCATGGATTGGCGCGACGAGGAGGTTCGGCGGGAGCGCCGAGGCAGTCGTCAAAGCCTCTGCGGCGATCCCGACGTCTAGCAGCTGCAGCACGACCGCATCGTACAAGGAGCGGTCGGCACGGGCAACGAGGTCGGCAGCAAGATCCCATAGGGCGACCACCGGCGCGGATGAGCGGAGAACCGACGCTATTTTGGCGTCTACGTCGAGGACGCCGCTTGGGCCGGAGCACCGCTGGAGACAAAAGTAGGCCATGGGCTGAAGCTTTGTCGGCGCAGTCGCAGACCGGGTGTATCCCAGCATTACCTCGTTCTCAGCTGCAATGGCGTACGCCACATGGGTGGCGTTGAGCGAGGTGGCAAGGCCGCTAACAACAGGACCGGGCGCCGCCGCACTCGTTGCGACCGGTAGCGGCATCGTCTTCTCCGGCGCACGGCTCGCTTCGTGCAGCCGTGGGGTGTATCGCGAAAAGACGCCGGTCCGCGTGGTGGTCCGGAGGAAGAGCCCCCTGTCGACTTCCCACGCCAGGCCGGTGATGCCCTCGGGCGCCACGAACCGGCGGATCCAGAGCTGCGACGCGTCTGCCGCTGCAGCCGGCGGGAGAAACGGGCAAACCGAGCAGACGACGGTGTCAACGCTGCACGTCGGCAACGGGAGCATGACACAGATTGTGCCATCGGCGGTAGGTGCCGCGAGCTGACCGAGGCCGCGTTCTGGATCAACGTCGTCGACGGCGCTCGCCCACACCGCGACTGTATTTGGCAGTGCAAAGGCGAGGTGCGGCGGCGGGGAGGAGGAGCCGCCAAGCGGCGGCGAAAACCGGACCGTCGTGACGGCAGCAAACGGCGAGCCACGGTAGAGAGGCACGACCCGGGCCAGGGTGAGCGCGAGCTCGCTTGCCGGCGTCAGCCGTGGCACAAAGGTGTAGACGGCAACAACACCAGTGGCGGTGCCGACAGCAACGAGCACGTGGCCGCGCCAGTCGGTGATGTCCATGGTGGTGACCTTGTGGAGCGCCACAGTCTGGCACGTTCCCAGCGAGACCGCAAGCTCGATCATGGCGACCGGTGCGAGCTTGGGCACGGCGACAGCGCTGCGGGAGACTGGGCGCTCGGCTGGGGTGTAGGCAAAGATGACAAGAGAGTCAACAGCTGCGGTCGCGAGAAGCGAGAACGGCGGCTGGCAACCGGAGCCTGGAAGCTCGCGTGACCATGCGAGAGCTGAGAGGGCGTGGCGGGCAAGAGGCGCGTCATCGGCAAGCGCGCGTTTGTTGGTGCGTTGTGGTGGCTCGGCCGGTGGAAGCTCAGCATCAGGCTCGGGCGTCGCCGGCGGCGGCGGCTCGTTGCGGGCAAGCAAGTGGTCAAAGACGGCGGCGGAGAGGTCGAGGCAGGGGAGCCAGGTCGGCACCTGCCCCGGCCCCGGCGCATACACGACGGCGGCACCGGTCGAGTCGAGCAGCGCGAGCGCGCACCCGCCGCGGCCGTCAGAACCAAGCGGGCCCCAGACAGAGGCAACAAAGGCGCGCGGGCGGCCGAGTGGATGCGGCCACGGGCGGCAAGACGACGACGATGCAGCAGCGGCGGCAGCATATGCAGCGGCAGCAGCAGCAGTATCAGCAGCAGCAGCAGCGGCAGCAGCAGCAGCAGACTGGCCGCGGGAGGTCTTGGCAGCCTTGAGCGCACGCTCGCGGACAAGAAGCGGCGACGGAGCCGACGAGCCGTGATCTGCGAGGGCGATGGCGGCGACACGGCGGAAGGGGGCGTGGTCGTCGGCGGTGGCTGTCGGCCGGGAGGCAGCCGGTGAGGGTGCGAGGAGGAAGACGGCGCCCCGAGCAGTTAGGGCGACAGCGTTGGTTGCAGACCACGCCAGTGCCGCAGGCGTCCCCACTGCCGCAGCCGGTAGGCCCACTACCGTCGGCTGGTGAGTGCCAGATGCCATGCGGGTGTGGACGCGAGTGTGGGAGGGGTAGTGGCGGGACTGGGGCAGTGTATTCGACAAAGCGCGGAAGTGACGGTGTGACGTAAAAAAGGAAGAGCGGTGGGGGGGGGGGGGGGGGGGGGGGGTGCGCGAGCAGAATATTTTTTGAACTGGCTGGGTGGTGAGCCAGCCGCCAGCTGGATGCCTGTTGCGGACTCGCTGCCAAGCCGTCACTCTTCGCTCCTTGTCGGGCAAGAAGGCCACGGCTGGGATACCATGGCGGCAAAGCTGGTGTTCTACTTTGACCTCGCATGTCCGTATGCGTACATGGTGTCGCATCGGGTCGAGGCTGCAGCGGCGCGGTGTGGGACTACGGTGAGCTGTACGGAAGGGGCGAGCGTGGGAGACGGCTCGTGGGAGGGAGCGTAGCAACGCACTTATGGCGCGCGCGGTGGGCGACAGACCAACCGGTGGTCCTTGGTGGGCTGTACAAGCTGAGCGCGGCGCCGCAGGGCAAGGACGGCTCGGCATCGGACGCGATGTCGGCGGCCAAGGTCCGGGTGGTGCGAGCCGATCTTGTGCGGTCTGCCAAGCGGTATGCTGTGCCGCTGGTGTGGAACAAGCGGCATCCGATCCGGACGCTGAGTGCGCTGCGGGCGCTCACTGCGCTGCCAGACGGACCGGAGCGTGGTGAGGCGGTCCACGCGTTGTATGCGGCGTACTGGGTGAAGGGCGCCAACCTGGCCGACGTCGACGAGCTCGCTGGGCTGTTGGCTGGTGTGGCACCGGGCCTGGACGTTTCGGCTGCGATTGCGGACCCGCAGGTCAAGGCCGAGCTTACAGCGACGACTGAGAGTCTTGCGGCGCTCGGCGCGTTTGGTGTGCCGTGCTTTGGCCTGCCCGGCGGCTCGTTCCTGTGGGGCGGCGACATGCTGCCGCATGTCGAGCGGGCGCTCGGCAACACCGAGGCGCGGCTGACGCGGTGTGTGCCTGCGCCGCCGCAGTCGGCACGGGTCCGCATCCCCACGCTGCAGGTCTATGTTGACGTGCTCTCACCGTTTGCATACCTAGCAGCGCAGGCGGTGGGCGCGATAGCGGCCGAGACCGGTGCGCAGGTCACCTTTATCCCGATCTTCCTCTCTGGCCTGCTCAAGGCGATCGGAACGTCGATGGCGGCGCGGCCACCGGCCAAGCAGGCGTACGCGCTGCGCGCGGCAGAGACCTGGGCAGAGTGGTGGGGTGTCGAACTGGCGCTGCCACCTGGCTTTCCGTTCTCGCCTCTCCTCGCGCTGCGGGCGCTGGCGCTGGAGCCTTCGGCGTTCCCTGACGTCTCGCGGGCAGTTTGGGCCGACGGCGTCGACGTGACGATGACAAGCGAGCTGGCGCGCGTCCTCGACAGCGCGGGCTTTGCGGGAGCGCAGCTTGTGGCGGAAGCGGCAAGCGTTGAGGCCAAGGGCGCGCTGCGGGCCAACACCGACGCCGCCGTCGCCGCGGGCGTGTGCGGCGTTCCATCGTTCACCATTGATCACGTGCCGTCGACGCTCACGTGGGGCCAGGATCGGCTCGATGTTGTGGCCGACATGCTCGCCGCCGCATCGGCCGGCATCGACGACCCGTTTGTGACCTCGCCGCTGTAAAGTCATGTGCTTCTATGGTATTGGTGGTGGAGTCTTCCGCCGCCTTCCGCGGTAAGGCGACCAATAATTGACCTTCTTCATGCACATGAACGGATGAGGAGGAACCAGAGGTGCGCAGAAAGTGCAGCAAGGATGGGGCACAGGTAGGCAAGCGGATGGAGAGGCAGGAATGCGCGACGATGATCAGCCTTCGACAAGTTGTTAGTAGAGGGAATTGGCAGGTAGCAGCAACGGCGGTGCGGGTGGCCATTTCAATTCAGTGATTGCTTTGGGTTGGCTTGCCATTGTTCGACGACTTTGCGACGAGAGACGGTCGAGGTGAGCAACGGGGTGGGACGGGAGCACACTCAACGCAGGGGTATGAGCAGCGGGTCCTCGGACGAGTGTTGTACCCCGGGGTGCAATGCACCATACTACTTGGTCCAGCACAACGGCCTCTGCACAGACTGCAACCTTCGCGGTGGCCGCGCTACCTCGTCGCGAAGCTCGTCGTCGACGTCAAGCGGCGGACAGCAGACGGGCTCCTCGTTCTCGGGCGAGCTGACGGATACCTCGTCGTCCGAGGCACCCGCCCGCCGCCGTGGACGCAAGACAGACTCGAGCTCAGCCACAGAGGCACGCCCTAGCCTTGCCGCCCAGGACTCGCTTGCGCAGCTCTTGGACAAGGGTGCGTTCAAGCACGGAACGAGCCATGAAGAGTATGTCCGTATGGTCGCCGCCCGCCTCCACCACAAGTGGCGCCTCAACCGCATGCAGGTACGTCCGCACACTCCCCCTGCACCCCTGACCCCCTTACCCTTGCACCCATCCCTCCTCCCCGACCCTCTCCGCACCTCTGCTGGCTAGGCAATGCCCTACACCTGCCGCTACGGGCGGGCCGAGCGGTGTTTTGGCCGTCCCGGCATCACCGGTCCCGGCGACGTGGTCCACTCCTCCATGCATACGGCACGCTCCTGTGCCCCAGTCACCTCCTTGTTCCGTGTGCAGAGCGTGCTACCATGTCGACATAGTCACACCCTCTCTCTGCCCGGTGTGCTGCTCAGGGAGCCCTGGTATCCGCGCCGGCTCTGAGCTGAAGCGGACGTTTTTTTCAACCCTTATCACATTGTCACATTGACCCCCTCCCCCCCCCCCTCCGCACCCACGCGTCCGCACCCACGCGTCCGCACGCGTGCAGCACATCAAGTCCATTGCATTTTGGCGCTCTGTAACGAGAGGAGAGGAACTCACATGCCACTGTCACACAGCCCGATGGCTCTTTCCTGCCCAGACCGAAGCTTGTGGACGATGTAGAGTATGACATTGCCAACTTGGACTACGACGAACTGCCGGAACGGTACAAGCACGAGAACAGGGAGGCGGCGCGGGTGGCGTGCGAGTCGGTCAAGGCTGTCATGGGCTCATCAAAATCGGCGCGGGCCATCAAGGACAATCTCAATGACGACTTTATCAACAAGGCTGCCGATGCCCAGCATGTGGCATGGATCGAGCGTAACCGCGAAACTGCAGACCCCTCCCTCCTTGTGCCCTACGACGAGCTTCCTGAAGATGAGAAGGAGAAGGACCGTCTCATTGTCCGCGAAGCCATCCGCCTTTACCGGCTGTGGTGCATCCGCTCGCCGTCGCATGTCCAGGCCTGGCCTGGCATCGGCGCTGCGCAATGAAGCTCAACCAAATGCGTCGCGCATCGCTTGGCCGATCAGTGTCGTATTGGCTGCGCCCAAAAGGGGGGGGGTGAGGAGACGATGTTGTGGGAGAAGAGTTGTGCGTATGTCGGAGTGGTGATGTGGGCCTTCGAAGGAACCCACAAACGCGCGCGCACGCACACACACACACACACTAGCATACACACATACACACACAGACACACACACACACTTACATACATACATACATACATACATACATACATACATACATACATACATACATACATACATACATACATACATACATACATACATACATACACACACACTTACATACATACATACAAACACTCCCCCGCCCCCCCCGCCCCCCGCTTTCTCCTCTTTCCCTCCTCTCCTCTGCCACGGCGCCACATTCGCCGGAAGTCCCCAACTCCAACCCGATTCGCGTTGAAAGCTACTCTTGTCGCAGGCAGCCGAGAGCCAGCCATGGACCCGGAGACGCTCCGGGACCGCCTCGAGCTGTTTGTCCTGGACATCAGCAACTACGATGACTACACATCCATATCCAAGCCAACAGCAAAGAAGCGGCTGCTAAACATTGGGTACGCCCCCCCCCCCCCCCCCCCGGA